GGCCACAGAGAAGCTAGCAGAAGGAGCCAAGGAAGTGGTCGAGATCGCCGTGCCAGAAAACCTGGTGGGAGCCATCTTGGGAAAAGGAGGGAAGACACTAGTGGAGTACCAGGAGTTGACGGGCGCCAGGATCCAGATCTCTAAGAAAGGCGAATTCATCCCTGGAACTCGGAACAGGAAGGTGACCATCACGGGTTCCCAGGCTGCCACGCAGGCTGCACAATATCTGATCAGCCAGCGAATCACCTACGAGCAGGGGGTACGCGCCACCAACCCACAGAAGGTGGGCTAAACCTGACAGCCAATGAGAAACGAGGAGGAAAAGAGTGGGGGCTTGGGGGAGGAGTACAAAAAAAGTGAAAGTGAGAATGGAAAAAGGAGAGGAGAGCCAGAATGTCGGAAGGAATCGTCGGTGCCGCTTTCTTATGCGTGTTGTCAGTATTCTCTATTAAAAATTTTTTGGCGCGAAGCAAAAATGTGCTGAGAAGACGAGGAGGGAGAGGAGCGAGTTATGCTGAAAAACCAAGAAATAATGTGTAAAATGTAAATAAGGTTTTATTACTTAACGTCTTGACCTTTTGGGATTTTTTTATTGTTTCAGTTTTTTGTTTTGTTTTGTTTAGTAAATTAAGCTGTCTGTTTGTTTTTGTGTATTGTGTGGACAAAGCTGAATGCAATGTAGGCAGGCTGACTGCCTGAGAGGTTACTGGAGGTGGGGGGAGGGAGGGGTATGGGTCCTGAGGGGAGGGAAGGGTTGACATTTACTGGGTGCAACCCTTCACCCCCAACCCAAAATCCAGTATAGAAGCAACCCTTACCCCTCGCTCCCCCTGCAGCCCATACCCTTCACCCTCCCATGGGAGTTTTTTTTTTTTTTCTACTTTTGATTTGCCCCTCAACCCCATCTCCTCACCTCCTCCCCCTGCTGTGCCCACACCCCCTTTTAAAAGGGTTTTATAGTGAGCAGGACTGCAAACTTCAGCCTGGTGTGTGAAAGAAGAAATGTCCACAACTCCCCCCAACATCTTTTATTCTTTCCCCCGAAGATGATCTCACCTCCCTCCTCCTCCTTTGGGAGATGCAGGAAGAGTGAGGTGGAACTGGGGAGCGGTGGGTGGGGGGAGAATAAACTAGGCGTTTCTTCATTGCACACCCCCCGTATACCCTGTGATGTATCCTACAAGCAGTGCAGCGCGACAGGGGTGCTATGGCATGTAGCGCCCCCCCCCCCC